CTTATAGTAGTTTCCCATTGCACTACCATTAAATTCCATACTCATTTTATTGGCTTATAAGATATGCATGCTCTATTTTCCCAATTTCAACTCATGTCACTCTTTCTTGCCTGCTATGCTCTGTTCACAATGACTTCTGTCAATTCCTAGAACACACTAAACTCATTTCCATTCCAGGGCCTTCACATATGCTGTATTTTTCCTGAGAACATTCTCAGACTAACTACTCTTGATTTATTCCCTAGAAAAACCATAATTTATAATTACTTTATGTATTTTACCATATTTTTTGTCACTAGATTGTATGTTTTTTGGAAGCAGCGATTTTGTGTTTTGTTTACACTGTGTCCACAGGCTTAGCATTGTGCCTGGTACACAGTGGACATTAGGTGAATAATCTACTTTTCTAAGCATATCTGCTGCTCTAATCAAGGAATTTTGTAACCCCACATGTATTGATACTTTCTACCTCTATATCACAGACTGAAACATTTTCTCTGCCTAGAATTCTTTCCTCCCCTAAGCCAATCCATAATTGTCCTTTCTCTTTTTTTTCTAATTTTTATTGGGATATAGTTGCAGTGTTGTGTTAGTTTCTGCTGTACAGCAAAGTGAATCAGTTATATATACATATATCCACCCTGTTTTTAGATTCTTTTCCCATATAGGTCATTACAGAGTATTGAGTAGAATTCCCTGTGCCATACAGTAGGCCCTTATTAATTATCTATTTTATATATAGTACTATGTAGGTATCAATCCCAATCTCCCAATTTATCCACCCTCCCAAACTCCTTTCCCCCTTGGCAACCATAAGTTTGTTTTCTACATCTCTGATGCTTGTAAATAAGTTCATTTGTACCAAGTTTTTAGACTCCACATATAAGCAATATCATATATTTGTCTTTCTCAGTCTGACTTACTTCGCTCAGTATGACAATCTCTAGGTCCATCCATGTTGCTGCAAATGGCATTATTTCATTCTTTTTTATGGCTGAGTAAGATTCCATTGTATATATGTACCACATCTTCTTTATCCATTCACCTGTCAATGGATATTTAGGTTGCTTCCATGTCCTGGCTATTGTAAATAGTGCTGCAATGAACATTGGGGTGCATGTACCTTTCTGAATTATGGTTTTCTCTGGATATATGCCCAGGAGTGGGATTGCTGGATGTCCTTTCTTTTAAAATGTACCTCAATCCCCTTCTCAGGGAGGCCTTTCATTATGGATCATCCTTGGCTCTGATCTCTCTAGGTTCCCTCAGAACTTCAGTGGTTAAGTTTTATATTTTATATGTATGAAGTAAGCAGTTATTTTATATGTAGGAAGTAAGTAGTTTTAAGGAAAATAAGTGTTTTATTCTATAACATGTTAAAGGGATGAAAGATGACACCTGATCAAAAATTTGGTTGAATAAAAGTTAATTTATATTGTCATAGGTGGTTTGTATTTTACTCTCTCACACACACCCTTCTAGTAACAAAAATTTACAGATTCTTAGTGTTTGTTAAAGCCTAGTGACATTTTTAATCTTTTTACAGGCACAAAAAAAGAAGATAAACAGGAATGATAAGTTTCAACCTTATTGAAACCCAGTTCAGCCTGCCTATCCCAATGAACTTTAACATGTGTGCCAAGTCAGGAGATTGAAGACTTACATTAGAGGATATCAGGTATACCAGCTGCTAGAGTTTGCCAGTTGGACACTGCTAAATGTGTCTCTAAATGCGGCTTTTTAGTGCTAATTAATGCAGCCTTTTACTGTAAGACACAACATACTTCCCTGCCTTTTATTCTTCCCTTTGTTCTTTTATTTTCATCTATTCTTTCTTTCTGTCTCTTTTTTTTAAACTAGAGAAGTAGAGAGCAGAGCAGTTGTTCCCAACTGTGGAGTTGCCCACTAGAATTAATATATATGTTTGAGGAAATATGCAAAATAATGCTCTACCTCATAAAAAAGTCAGAACAATTAAAATAACAAATATAATTTCATACCTGTCAGACTGAAAAAAATTAAAAATTATGAGTGTTTCATTCTCCAACAAAACTTCAAGTTTCTTAAGAGTAATTGGGTATTTCTTTCTTTCACTGCGCCTAATAAGTGTTATGGGCTCTAGAATGTAAACTCCCCAATAAAGACATTTTTGTCTTTTATGTTCATCACTGTATCTGCAGTACCTAGAAAGTGCCCACCCAGCACATTCATAGTAGGTAATTAATAAATATTTGTAGAAAAATGAAGGATATTAGTTCTTAGCAATACTTGCTGATTAATTGGATGACTGAGAAGCCTTCAGTCAGTTTTCAGAAACTTCAGACCTAGGTTTTCAAAGTTGTAAGGATCAAAGTTGGTTGAGCATGGGCTGGGATAGGGATGAAAGGAAGAATGAGGGATTTCCCCTCTCTGACCACAGCTTCCTACCACAGTTCCCACTTCCCAGTTCTTAGTACCTCAAATAGCCAACACTTCATAATTTACCCAGTAGCTAACCATTTGGGGGGCCATATTTGATTTTTTCCTAATGAGCACTCCATCATCACGTATTTCATGATGCCCAGAAAGGTTTCCATTGGTATTAACTCAGATTACTCAATTTTGTGCTTTGACAATTACTCTAATCTTCTATTTAATCTCTGGACCTTGGTCTTTCTTCACCCCAATTTATCACTGCCAGTCTAATCTTTCCAGAATATCACTTTTATGATGCTACTACCCTGCTCAAAAGTTTTTGACTCCTATACATCATCTACTTAAAAGATTTAAATTTCTTAGATTTGTACCTATAGTGCTCGGTAACCAGGACCCCATTCATCTGTCTTCCCTGTGTTATTACCCAGAACTCTTGGACAGAACTCCTCAGTTCCAACTAGTCAGGTGTACTTATGTCTTCCCCAAACCACTTTGTGTTTCTATGCCTCTGTATTTATTTTCTTGCTCATGGGTCCTAAAAGTTACAAGTTCTCAGGTCTCCAGCCTAAGTCCCTTTTTTGGATGTCCAAATTATAATTCAGTGAGCCTTCTCTCCTTAAGTAACTATCAGAATTTCTGAAGAATGCTCTCAAATTCCAGAAAACCATTCTGTTGTCACTTGTCACCATGGTTGATTTTTCACCCCAGAAAAATCCTCACCCTCAGTTGATCACAGCTTGCTCTTTCAAAGTTGGATTCACAGGCTGCTGCTGCTCTCCAGAGACAATTTTGTCCCAGGCATGTTCCCAGGCTGCATATCTTATCCCACACAGTACAGCTAAATTCAGATTACAGTCTAATAGCTTGCAAAATTTTACACCAGGCTTAGGGATAGCTAGAAAAACTACTGCACTACTGATACTCTTGGACCTTAGTCGCCCACACTTCCCCACTCCCTCTCTTTTTCTCCACACCTGCAGTCACACTTCAAGGGCCGGCTTTTTTCCAGCAAGTGGGCTCATTCAGTCAGGGAACAGATACTGAGTGTCAATTAAGTGCCAGGCAGTGTGCTAGGCACTGGGGATGAACCAAATACACACAGTTCCTGTTTTCCAGACAGACATAAAATAAATTACTACAAATAGTTGAGAAAATAATTCTAAGTATGCAAAGTGCTGCCAAAGAAATACCTGGCACTTTAGGTCCTCTACATTCTCTGTGGCCCAGGGAGAGGGAGGAAAAACAGTGTTCCCATCTCTTACAGATATCTAACCACATTAATAATGGTATAATCTGTAGAAAAGCAATTTTGACCTTTAGGAAGACAGCATTTTACATTATTATGCAGACAGTTTAGCTCCTACATTTTTTTTTTTTAATATTTCCTCTACAGAGAATGAAAAGAGCCAAAATGAATGAACACTTAAACTGTGTGCTTGACACCATTCTAAGCCCAATATACATATTAATTTATATAATTTTCACAATAACCTATGAAGGAGTCCTATTATTTTCCCCATTTTACAGATGAGGCAACTAAGGCACAGAAAGATTATAACTAGCTCAAAGTCACACAGAAAGTAATGGCAGAATTAAAAATCCAGGCAATCTGACTGCAACCCAAAGTCTTTGTTACTATGCCATTATACCTCTCAGTACAGAGAATTGCATAATTCTTCAAAGGTGCATTCCCATCTTTTGCCTCTGAACGTTCATCCCAGGGCCAGGCTCAGAGCACTCTGCCACATCATGCTTCTCCACTCGGCTGGACTGCTTTCCTTCTTAGTTGTTGAAACCCCACTAGTTCTTCTATAGAAGTCAGATGAAACCCTTCCTAGGCCTAGTTCACAGTGATCACTTCCATCTCTGAATTCATGTTACAATCACTGTCTATAAAAACTCTTACAGATTACGTTCCTACTAGGTTTACAGGGAGTGTATGTTTCCCCAAAGTAAATCACACAGTGCCTTGTACAGAACTGGTACTCAGAAAGAATTATTGATTAAGAGAGGGTCCCCAGCTTGTAGGGGTCTGTGTGGTAGGCGGCCAAACTGGTAGCAAATGAACATTTTAGTTTTTGATTTTATGTTTTTTATATGATCTAACAAAAAAATCTATGTTATGGCCCTGTCTGGAAAATATTCATTCAATAAACAATTAATGTGCCAAAGCATTGTGCTAAGTATTAGAAGTAAAACAAACTCTTTCTCCTGAGCTGTATACCTAAATTTCCAGCTGCCTTCCAGATACAATCACAGGTTCAAATCCAAGATCATCATCCTTACCCCTGCAACTCAGAAACACATATTCCAAACTTGCCCCTTCCTCAAGGTTTCAACATTTCTTTTAGGGTCTCCATCATCATTTTGGGCATACATGTCAATCATTTTTTCCATTAAAAAAATATAAGTTATATATTCATTTTACTAGGGTAACAAGGAGACAGTACTAAGACACCCTGTGCTTTATTCTTTTGCCAACTTAATAATACCATCAGGACAACCCTCTTTGTTTACATGTAGTTCTTGTATTAGCTGTGGGGGCAGCTCAGTTTTAATTTATTATGTGATAAAAGAGTTTACAATTATGTTCAGAACATTATTTTTTTATTGAGGATTTTAAGTGGGACAAATGAATTAAAGGAATTGTTATGTTTTCCACAGCTCCAGAGATGTAAATCTTTATGCAGTGAAGAAACGTAATTAAATGAAACTCAAATTTTAAAAGCTAATGATTCATATTAATGATCAGTGGTTAGAGATGTTTAGTTTTCTGTCACAATTTCAATCCAGAATTAATTTGGTTCTAAAATAAAATAAATGGAAAACTGAGGACTCATTCGAATCTTAATGCAACAAATATGAACTAGATTTTTAGTTCTTTGTAACTTTCCGTAAAAATTCCATAACTGTATTGGTGTAGATTATGCTAGGGATGAAATTTGGTTCCTGTGTTAGTATTCCAGATAAATTTAAAGAAAGGCATCTTGGTATTTGTTTTCTTTTGCTCTAAGCAGCTTCTTTACATTTTACTTGAATTAACTTGCAAAGTAAATGTTTATCCATAAATCAGTATTAAAATTGAAAACTGGTAAATAGGTAATAAAAATTATCTAAATATAGATAATCTGAAAAAAAATTAAGACATTTCCCCCACGCCATAACAGTGGTATAAAACATGAACATGACGCATGATAGGATCCACAATAAAGTAAGAGAATGTTTGTTCGTGACTCTTTGTTGAAGGGTAGCACATACCAACAGAATCCTGAAAAAGATAAACCTAAATTATTTAGTATACAACTACATTTAAATAATAATCAACATATTTAGCTATTAAATATTTTGTGGTAAAATGTCATGAAACATATATCAAATCTTTGACAATAAGCTGGCAGTTAACTACTATTTTAAAATGTTTGTGGGCAGCACAGTCTACTTACTATGCTAACAATACATATGTACTATGCAAACATGCATAATTCTTGACCTTAAGGAATTTATAGTCCAAAGTAAATTCTATCTTTGAAAAAAGTCCTAATATTGCAAAAATTTATTTTGCATTTTTCCTCTATCTTTGCTTTTTTCAGAACATGGTCTATACATACTATGCGGGCTGGGACTATGTTTCTTTTGTTTATCACTGGGCTCTAGTCCCGCACAGTAGCTGATACACAGTAGGTATTCAAAAAATAATTGTTAAATGATTGAATACAGATACTTAGAAACTGCTTCATATGTATTAACAATCTTTTGTGTGATACTGAAATTCAAGTATCAGATTCTGTGATATAAAGACATTTATGTCATTCTTACTTATTTGCCCCCAAATTATTGTTTGACAGGCTAAAGAACTGTGTTCTACCTCATCTGAGCCACAGATTTAGCTCTAAAATAAGAAAGAACTATTATTAGACATGGATAACAGAAAAGAAGCCAGGGAAAATGTTCACACTTTCTCCAAATAAAAGCATACCTTATCAACTTTTAATTTTAACAGAAAACTATTTAGTTTATGTTAACTATGTTCTGTATATACAGGTATATGTTCTGTTAGCTATTCCTCTCTGAGGCATAACGTCGTCCTAGTTGCTATCTCCAGTTATTACAATCCTCAATAACAAATAATTAGATTGGTTGGTTGCACATTTCCCCTCAACACTTACATATGCTGTAACTTTAAAGACAGAAGAGGTAATTTGTATTTTCTTGGTTTGGGGATTCTTTCGAACACTAAAATAGGGAGGAAAAGGGAACATTTTAAAATATAACAAGCACTGGCATAATACATTTAAGATGTTGATCCCTTTTAGTATTCAGGTGTTCTTATCCACATATAACATGGAAATACAGAATATCTAATTAAGTAGTTTGAAAAGAATGGCATCTGTGGTTTCATCAAAGGATAGGGCAACGTTAACTGAACTGAAATTGCAAAAAATTGAATTTTACAGTTAGAGGGTTTGAGGTCAGTTTGAGACTCAGATGATGAAAAGACTCCTAGGCCAGAGACAATTACTGGAAAAACAAGAATTGGTTAAAGTCAGACTGAAGTGTAAACAGCCGTAAGGGGTAGATAAAAACATACTAAACTTGCAGAATTAAACAGGCTGAACATAAATGACAGTTCTGCCACTGATTTGTTATTTCACTTTAGGCAAGATTAACCTTTCTGAACCTCAACTTTCTCATATGCAGACTGGGTAGGATATGGTTCCCTTTAGGATTATATGAGAATTAGGTGGAGTAATGTATATGAAAACTATTTATTAAATTATTCATTACTAAATTATATTCTATTAAAATCACTTTCTCTCATAGCTCTCTTTCAGTTACTCTCCCTACAAAAGATAATCTGTAGCAATATATAGTGAGGAAGCAAACTGAGGATTGAGGAAATAAGCTACAGATATATATTTATACATTAATTCATATATAAATATATACACATATTTATAATGCTTTACAATTTGCAAAATACCTTTATATACTTTACCTCATGTAAAGATCACACAACTCAGTGAGGTAGGCATTATTTTGCCAATTTTACAGACAATAGAAGTAGAGCAGTTAAATGATACATTTCAGACATTCCAACTAAAAGTGGTATGTCTGGGAATAGAATTTAGGTGATATA